TGGTGACAAACTCCTTTAACCTTGTTTTATAGTTTATTTGTTATTCTTCATTATCAAATCTATGTAAACGATTTGTTAATAATCTTTTAGTTTCATTTTTTTTTAATGTGGATACGTGCATTTTTGTAAAAGTAATTTTTTCATTTTATCATGAATACTTGTTTATAATTTTTTATGTATTAATGTATTAGTGACGTTGTTTCTTTTCTTCTCTCTGTTAATTAAAATTTCATTAGCTTTGAATAATTATTCCTTTTCCTTAGGGTAACTAGGAGAACAGTATGACACACTAGCACCAATTAAGTTAATCTTAATGAATGTATATTAAATATTTCAGTAATTGTAGATTCTTGAATAGGAAAAGAATTTAAACGTAAACTGAGTATGTGGGGTGATGCTGATTGAAAGATAAAGGCGATTTAATGCTAATTTAAATATTTTTGGTTTTAATGCACCTATAAACTGCAATTTCACTGTTAATTTGCACTATTTGTAGGTCGATGAATGTGGCTTACAAGGTGACATTGCCTGAATGCTTTCAGTTTCTCTTCACTGAATATTTGGACAACATAGAACTTTTTCTTTTGCTGCACAGTTTCTATTGTAATTAGTCCATTACTTGTGGAGAGTTTTAATTACTCCCCGATTAATTTTCAACTGGAGTGAAATCATCTATGTATACTTCAATTATCTCAAAATCGAAGTGTTACCATCAGTGGCGTAGCACTGCTCTGGAACCCTAGACCTCAGGGAGACCTTGGTCAGGCCAACCGAAAAACTTTGTCCTTAGCTGAGCATAATTGATTGAAAGAATTATGAATTTAATGAATGCCTAAGAATAGTCCTCATTTTGGGTTTTGAAAACTTTCCATTTCTCTGTGCCAACAGCTGTTAAGATAATCTGGGCGAGTTGTTATAGTAAAATTAGCAACTAAACAAGTAAACCAATTTATACGTTGAAATTTAAAAAACTATTAGTGCACAATTAATTTACAAAAGGTATATAGATACGTAAAAAGTTTTTATTTTTCCTTAGATTTTATTTACTGACTATTTATAAAGCTGTAGTAATGTTTCTATTGGAAAACGAAATCCTACATTGGTATTTTATAAAAGGTTAAGGACTCCATTATATTTTGCACCACAGGACCCTTAATATGCTAGTTACGCCATTGATTGCAATTGTATTTATTTTGAAAATGAAAATGAATGTTAATAGAGTATACCACACCCCGATAATGTTTATGTGAATTAGATGGTGTTTCTGCAACAAAGGACATGGGTGGCTCATCCCACTGTCTGATGTACAAATTGCATACAATTAAAGGTTCGTATAGAAAGTAGGCTGATGATTCTATCTACATGCTTGTATGAAATGGAATTTTGAAACGTGAGTCACAAAATTCAATAAAAATGTGCTAACTGATAACTGATTCGTAAATGTGATTTTTAATAATTCATTAAGTAATTAAAATAATCCACATTATTTATGTATTCCTATGTAATAGGCAACGTTTCGTATAAGTATATAAATCTTGAATGCAGGTCAGCGTTCCTTCTCAGACTTCATAGAAAATTTATTATCATCTAAATATAGAATCCTTTGTTAACCGCTCGCTTGCGACTATAAAAAAGTAATAATAACATGAATTATTTTTGAATAAATATTTTGAACGAAACGGTTTTGAATTTTATTGGAAAAATTGTTGTTTTTATAGTCTTATATTTTACGTTCCTACATTATATTTCAAAATTTTTGCTGTACATACTGCCTTGATATAAAGCAACCAACTAAAATTAGAAAAATTGGTGATTTTTAGATGTTTTAGCGAAAACAGTTAAGCTTAATCAATCTTCACCTCTCTAGAAGTAGAGTTATATTGAATGTGTCTTGTCTATCGTACTTTGAAATGTTGAAGTTTGTCAGAAGTGTATTTCTTCTCATATTTATAAAGAATTTTGTCGTTGGGGTCATAAAAGAGTCTTGTCGCCATCCCTTCTTTATATCTTATTAATTAATTATTTATCGTTGCTTCTGAATTGAATTCAATTTATAATGTAATAGAACCCGCCCTCGAATTTGAGTTCGAGAAACGGAGGAATTCAAGTGAAAGAGATTAAAATAAATATAAAAGATTATGTATGCATGTCAAGGGAACAAAAAAGATTTCGAGTTGTAGAAGTTTGAATCTATTTTGTTACGAATTTGAGGAGTTTGAGATACAAACAAAACAGAATTTCTACTAAACTGAATTTGTGCTAATGACAGCGCAAATAAGTTTTAATTTATTTTCAGAATTTCAATATGACATTATAACGCCTTCGAAACTTGTTATGGTATAGGCTATTTTGTCTTTGTTTCCTCTGATGATGAGTTTAATGTAAATGCAAAATAAACATTTGTAAGTGTCCATTAAATTGCAGCATAATGTTTTTTCTTACAAGCCAACGAGTTAAAAATTTTATTTAATCTGGTGATGCCACTAATAAAAGAAACAAGAATCTTCCAGTTATCTCCTGATCTTAAGGTCTATATCCTTGGAAACAGCAGTCACTGCACTGCGTCGCAAATAAAAAAGGCAAAACACTAAAGAGACAATGTAAACACATTTATCAATATTTTTTAGACTTTAGAGCTTTGAGAAAGACAGGTTTTCTCCGAACCGTAGGTACAAATACTTAGATATTGTGGTGATCATATATTTTTTTATATCTGGCTTCTTTGTTTAAACTGTGATGTTATATTTGCATATTATAAATTGTACCCATTAATATTTTCCATAGCTCATTTAGAATAAATACTCAATAAATTTGATAAAGTTAAGCGGATTGTATAAACTACAAATATCTGTTTCTTACTGAAAATATTACCCTAAATGTGTAGGTATGCCCCAGAGTAATAATACAATAGGTCTTGGACAATAATCTATTGCCATTTCCAACTTATTAGTCCTCATCAGCACGTCGTAGGCAGTATCGATAAATATCACTAGAAGATATTGCCTGTTGTTTTTAAAACGTTTTTATAATTCTAAACTGTACAATGTGCTTAAAGATACAAAAAGATGATTTCATGTTTTTTGTTTTAAGAGAAATAGTTTTTAATGTTGTTAAGTATACGTATTCCTTTGTTTGTTATGCGTGGATAGAGAGCTTATTAGGGATTCTTATTATCCGATTTCAAAACATGTCGCATAGACAGTGTATTAATATTCTGTGTGCGAACGAACAGTCTTGGTAACGGTATTTTTTTATTTATATTTTTAGCGTGCTTCGTGGCATGTATGTTTGGCTGAACTTTATTTCTCCAGAAACGATGCAGTGTGGAAGTTGTCCGGCCAGATTTTTGTTTTGAGGGTGCTGTTAAATGCTTTATTCAGCGCTTATGAAAGTGAAAGTATCTACTTGTACATTAGTCGATACAGAGAAAGTTATTTGGTCGAAGTGTAGGAAACGAAATATGACATTTACCGATATTTCTGCTCAGTTTTATCATCATGTTATTCAATTTGCCATTATACCTTAGCATAATTTTATAACTTTGGGATTCATAAAAAAAATGGTCGGTTATAATAATCCGTTTCTTGCCAAACTTGTTGTTAATTCTAATCATAAATCCGTCTACTTTCAAACATATCCAATGAAAACTTATACGCTCCTCTCGGGCAAGTATTTTGGTATTTCTAGTGGAAACGATTATTTCTTAAACCAAGCATATGTTAACTGTTGCCATGTTGTGCAACGAAATGTCAGAAGTTGGCTAATTATTCATAATTGCAAATTAGGATCTTCTTTCAAAAGACACTGTAATACAAATCAAATGTAGGCATTGTAGTTCCCCCGTGGCTTTTTAGGGCTAAGCCATTATTACTTTTAATACCTATAAAAAGTGCAAGCTTTTAAATAACTGATGTTGGAAAAGCAGTAGCGGCTCGTGAAGAAATAAAGTGGGTGTCCTGCAGATGTTTACTGATAACTCTTTTTAAAGTAAATTCAATGCTTAGATCCTTCATAGAAGCAAACTTTTTTCGTTGAAGTTGTCAATTTTTGATATACAATTTTCAATGGAATGCATCAAACAATCTTGGGATATTGAAAATCAGAGATTTTAGCTAAGTTGAATTCAGCTCCTTGACTCGTTTCAATTTGCAGCTTTATGCTTACAAAAAAATAGTAGAGAGAAGCAAGGCGGGCATTCGCAGCAGCGCGCAGAGCTACTTAGAGCGGACCAGTTCAGTAATATAAATTATACCACAAACCCAGAGGATTCGTTTTATCTTAATAAACTGTACTGATAAAATATATAGGCATCCAATTTATAGGAAGTTATGATGTGTATCTCCGTGGCGCCTATATAACTGTCGTCCCTGAGGGAAAACCATATTTTGACATTTACGCTAACCTTAGTACATTTGAAAAGCGATTACATTATATATTTTCTTCAGGATGATTTATACGAATATTTTCATTAGTAATAAAAAAAGAATTAACATTTATTAACTTACCTACTTCTAGCTTGGTTCGTCGTCAATATTAACTAACTATTGGTAGTGATGTAACATCTCGTTTCTGATTTTGATATTTAAGAGGTGACTATTGAATGTAACCTTGAACTTCATAAATTAAAATGTGGTCAGAATCGTTTACCTGACTTGTTTATTTAGTCTTTTACCATCGTAAACAATTTTTCTGATCGTGAAGGAAATCCATGTGAACTACTTTAATATATTTAAAAAAGATACTTTTAATTATTCTAGTTAAGAAGTACGAACATTTTAATATATTGAAGTAATTGAATTTTTCGTATCCGTGTTGCTGTAATGTGACGTAACAGAAAATACGATTTAAAAAAAACTGTTAAATTCTTGGAAAACAGTTAAGGAATGTAGGTATTTGTTAATTCACTTTCAATTTTATTTTTCTTGTTCGATTAGAATGTTGGTAACCTTGATATCTATAATAAAGTCATGTAGAAATGGCGTATGTTAAAGAAATACGGATTAATTATTACTAATTATTTAATTGTATTTTCTTTACACATATTATCATTACATATAATACAAAAGTCATATCTAAACGGGAGATACCCTGAAAATTGTGGGACCATATATCTACCCCATACGGCGGGGAAATTTCAAAATTACGGTCAATTGAGTACCAAACATTAAAAAAACAATAACAATTAGGTCGCAGTCATGTTAAACAATAAATTACGAGATAGAGATGATCACTAAACCCGCTAAGCTTCCGCGGGACGCCGTGCGAGATGGCAAGGGCCAAGGGCGACATTGAAATATTAATTTAAAGTTCGGGTGCTGACTTAGAAGAAACCATCCCCAGTGGGGTCGTTAACCCATGGGTAATTGTTTGGACAACGTACGCACGTTTGTAAATTGAGAGTTTCACCAGGAACTTCCTTAGATGTAAGTTTGCAGGAATGTGGTAACCAACAAGCTGGTGGTCCATCGACGACGCACTTTTCCCTCCATGGTTCGAATGTTTTCGATTCTGCTATTGTTCGTGGGTTTTGTATCCATTGAATAACCTGTGTCATGGTAACGAAATAGACGTCGTTGTGATTGGCTAATACTTCGTCAATCCAGTACAAGAAAGCGTCGAGAAATTCGGGATTGTTTCTCAACCAAGCGGCATGGAAATAGAGTCCCAAAGGAGCCCTGTTTTCTTCGTAATGTCTGTCGAAATTGTGGTTCAAGAAGTTGTAGAACTGATCTCCGGTGATAATGTTAGAGCAAGAGTCCACCATGGCACAACCAGGGAGGTATTCGTCGTTGTTGGGATCTTCTCTACGGTCCAGTTCGTTGAGTACCATTTCCCATACGGCATGACTTCTTGTTGGACAACTTTGCAAGTTTCCGTGGCAGCGATGGGGCATGCGGAAGTACATGGTGTAAGGCCATAGAGGTGGGTTGTTCAACGGAGCTGTGATTGTTGAATCGTAAAGGAACGCCTGTTCTTCCATCATGGTGAACTGGTTGTTGCCACCTACTCTCAAATATGGTGCACGGACGCCGACAACACTGTTATCGGTTATGTTGGCGAATTTCTCGATGATAATCCTCATTCCTGCCATTTCTTTGGCCCAGTCGTCCAACGTTGCATTGCTCCAAAAGCGTTCGTCGTCATTATGACTGTAAGAAAAAGAAGAAAATAAGTTATGCATTTCAGAACGACAATTAACAGTAATTAAACAACTTACGTGATGGAATGTACGGCGATTTCGTGGCCTTTCCTGTGCATTTCTTGGACAGCTGAATAGTTGGTATATTTATGGGAAACGAAGAAAGTTGATTTGATATCACACCCATTTGGATTCTTTCTGTTTCCAGTGAATATTTCTTTGTACAATTCGATATTGTTATTATTGATGGCGTCATCGAAAGTAACGGTTATCATTTGGGGTACGTCCTTAGCAGGAAGACTTCCGGGTATTGTGGTTCCGTCTTCCGAACAGAAACAGTCAGGAAGTACACAAACAACCGGATCGCATGGTGGAGCACGATTGGGATCATTGTCAATATCTGAAATTAATTATTAATTGTGCCTTTTATTTTTTAAAGCGAACGAAACGAATGAATACGAAAATGAGAAAACAATATGACATTTGAAAAACTACCATAAAAAGAGTAGTGTATTAGTAAAAGGTCACTTAAGGAGTAAATATTTCACAATAATTGTGATAATACCACCAGTATGTACATTTTGCGGCTAAAAGTGGCACAGAACGAAGAGGTTTTGCTGTAACATTCATCAACTGGTTTTAAACGATTCACGAAGGACATTGAAAGCGACATTCAGTTCGCTTTCATATCTCCTGTAACCTTACAAGGTCTTACCTTTATCAGGATNTACCTTATGATATCGTTGTTGTTTGCAAGCACCTAAGCATATAGAAATAAAGTAACTGTTCACCTATATGCTTATATAATATATACAATTACACAGGAAATATGAAACCTTTAATTTTATTGTCTTGATGTAAGTTCATAATTGATGAGTAATCTTTTGCATATAGTATTATAATACTTCAATAACGGTCTTCATACAATGACCACACATAAATAAAGCTATCAAACAAGTGCGGAAATATTCTATAGTCTACTACGAAACCACGTACTTATGTATATCTAAACAAAAAAGAAAACAAGTTGCTTTATTCATTATCCAAACCTTAATTTAGTGCAAAATACAATTAAGTTTAAAAGCTTTTAATGTCTATCGATGTAGAAAAGATAAAGGAAATGGAAACGTAGAATGTCATAAAATGTCGATGAAATTAACCAGATTGTTTCGTATGCAAAATTTGTTTTCTGTTGCAGAACTTTACGTAATTTGCAGTTTTCGCATGATTTAAGAAATCTTTAGTAGACCAACTACTATGCGATTTTATAACAGAAGAGTCGTTTTCACTTTGTAGTAACTTTCCAAAATTTTTTTTTTATGTTCCAACATCGAATGTTAATTCCAATTGGACGAATATTTATTTCCGAAAACAATTTAATTTGTCAAAAACAATATTAGATTATCATTCATATATACATTCAGTAAAACTCTAATTGAGTCAACTGCTTCTCAATTAGATGTCGACTAGTTTTGGTTTAAAATTAAGTTAATAGCCTCAAGGCATTTGCCATGAATAATAATGACTAATAAATGGCATTGCCATCTAAAATTTTGCAGAAAAGGTCGCTAATCGGTGACACTTTCTTAAATATGGTTTCCCTATTGTTTCCTAGTGAAAGTCTGCTAAGGACGAAGCTATTATCAATTTTCTTTTGCCTTTAAAAAATATGATATCGTTATTAAAAGGATTTTACCTACCTAGTGACCTAAATTCGTTTTTAAAGTATACAATATCCGAGCTTTTACAAACACTTTAAGTGAACAACTTTTAATGCTATTAAAAGGCAAAACTGATCTAAATAATTAATTTCGGTCACGTTTATAACGCGAAGGCGACTCAAGAGCTAGTCAACTTAACAAATGAAAATAATATGTATGTTTACTTTATGCATAAAGTAAATTTTGAAATTTCACAATAAAAAAATTAAAAGCTTTAAGTCGGAAAGGTTATTACGCTAGTTATCTCAGCTTAGGTATTTGATTAGGGTTAGGCAATTTAATTCACAAAATTGATTGCAATTTCAAATTAGATTTCAAAATGTCAAACACACTGTCAATATCATTTAGATACATACATGAAGCAGGTTTATGAGGATGACTTTGAGAAAATTATTTATTATTAAAATGTTTATCTTTAATAAATATAATTCAAGAAGCAAATCAGTAAAAAGGAGCACCTTAGCGTTAATGGGTAAAAATAATTGAATTAAAAAATAAATGTATGTTCTATCTATCTACTTAAAAAGGAAAAGAGAATGGCGGTATTAAATGGTAAATGTTTGATATTTTACTGATAGTTACCAGTAACTAACTGTTGTAATGTTTTTAATATCGTTTACCGACTGTAACATAATTATTAACTAATTAGTCGAGAATTTTATTGTATTTTTATTCGTTTCGATTAAAGACAATGATGTTAAAGCAGTGAACTGTTACAATGTTGTTTGTAACTCCATTAGTTACGCAATGCTTTTTCTGTAATAAACAAAATACTTCCAATGATGTAAGCTATAATGTAATAGACGATTGAAAAAAGAAAACATGATTTGATGATGTGATGGATGTAGTCTTCGTTAATACAATAACTGTTTTATGCTTGTGTAAAAACGTTTTGATCTTTTGATTGTAGTAGGTATATTGTGGACAAAAAAAGAGCATTTTTAGCCGCAACGATCAATGTCTGCGTACGAACAGAAATAAGAAAGTTGTTGGCCTCGGTATTTTCACTAAATTATTGCATTTTAATAATTTCCTCAACACTGCTGCTGTTCCACAATTCAAGGCAGGAGTATTTATTTAACCAACGAGATAATTATCAGTAGCTAATGACTTTACCTTGCATACCTCAATTTAGTAACCTAACAGTGTTGTTCCTGTATCTAGATGTTTCCAAATGTTTCTACCATGTTAAACTGTTACTTCTTTCAATACATCTTTTCTTATATCTTTTGATCATGAACAAGATTGTTTAGAACTACTTAACTGGGCAGGTAAAGTTCTCGGTTTACCAGAAAAGTGAAAGGAACAACATGTTCCTATGTCTGTAATCGTGTATTGCAGCTGTCACGCGGATGCGACATGTAGAAACAATCATCAAATTAATTCTAAGTCGACAACGTCCTTATATATACTTAAGTATGCAGATAGTTTGATATTTTCTTTGAGGGCTCGGTTGTTGGAAGTGCATGAAGTTGTATGACCTTTACAGCCGTTGCTAATGAAATTTCGAAATAAATTAGTCAACAAAAACTATTGTACAAACTGACTGACACTTATGGCCTCACATATTTGCTTCTATGCCTTCTACAACCACAAGATTATTTCGAAATCACCCAGAACTGCGGTTAAAGGATAATTAAGCAATCTCTACTTAGACTACACACCACCGACACTTAAATCGTAATTTATTTATGTGTAAAATAGTTACATTTTTAGTTATATGTAGGACGAATTAGCAACACATGTTTATTTTATAACTTACTTGCAGAATCGAAAGAGAAAGTTCATGAGTTACTTTTTATTTCTTGTTTTACAGTCGATGTGTCAAATAACGTAAATGATTTTAAATATGCACGTAATAAACAATCAAAAGCGTAAGGGTTTGTATTTAACTGTGTAAAGTATATAACAAAAGTTTCTTTTTGTAAATCTAAATTTATAATTGGGAAACGAACTTACCGCATATCGTCGCTATCGCTAGGAGAAGGAGCGCTGTTTGTAAGCGCGCCATCACTATAAAACTGAACTACAGACACTACTTACACTGCTGCACACCTGACAGGACCTGCGCTGCGGCGCCGTGGACTTTTATATGCGGCCTACATTGACAACCCCCATTGGCCGACGTCACCGCACCTAAAGCTTAAGTCGCATTGCTCATCGGATTCTACAGCGCGTGCTTTTCTTAGGTGTAGTTCTTACGGATCGATGCTTTCAATATGGCGTACTTACTAACTTTTTAACCATCGTCATTATTATTTAGATTACTGCAAGTCATAAATTAATCGATCCTATATATTTATAGTAAAGTGTAAACACTTTTAAGCGTGCCAACATCAGCCAATGTTTTAGTTAAAATAATGCTTAGGAGTTTACCATACAGAAGAGCTCTAGAATGAATCCTGTTAAAGTACAGGACTAACTGTTGAGGATTAAAAGCTCTGTTCGACGACTGCCAGAAAGCCTGATAATAAACAACTGTGTGTGTGCTTTTTGCCTTTAAAGCAGGTAAATAGCAAAAGGTATTGAATCGACTGGGAACTGATTCTGAGTCGCCCCCAAGAGCTGATGAAATGCATCCTAGTATAAATGTTTCATTTGTAACAATTTTACGTTTGCAATTGTTGCACAGTGTCAAAAGTTAGGATTAATTCATTGTGTATAAGCATGAAATGCATATTATTTGATGTAAGAACCATTTGAATTGCAAATTTCGAACATAAGTGTTGATCCCTTTCAAAACACTCTCAACATTGGTTCCCAACGTTAAATTTCAATTGTCTTTGTAGAACCTCTTTTACTATAAGTATGAAGTTCTTCATCTAGGATAGATCTGAGTGAATACATTCTAGAACAGTGACAAATAAGTCGATAGCATTAGTTGCTGTAGTAAACTATTGTGATAAACAGACACAGACAGGCACCGAAGACTCATGATAAGGTTCATGCTACATTTTTTTGCTGAGAGTAACCTAATGTAGCAATAATTACTGTAAAAATGCAAAAGGATACTTGAAATCTAATAGTATTATCTTATATTAACTAACGACTTAATTTGTCTTACATTTGACATATGACACACAGCTTAGGGAAATCTAATAAGGTCAGTGTTAAATCATGTATTACTGTAGATTATAATGTAGTTGTTGTAGTAACTGTGCTTTTAACAGAAGCTCTAAAAAATTAGATAAGCTTATTGTTGTTGCTTCTTTTTATTAAGCTTAAGAATTTACCTTAAAATACATTTATTAATAGAATCAATGTTAAAAACCAGCTACAGTTTTTATTTTTCAGTTAGTGGAACTATAAAGCAAAAAACTAGTTGTAATGTCTTAGTAACCGATGTTTTTTTAATTCTAAGAACGGCTAAATGCTTAAACGTATGTACAAGTGTAAGTACACCGTAACATTTAATTAGACACCAAATTAGTAGCTAAATAACATGACATTATTAAATACTATAAAATAAATTGACACCAGGGAAAAAATAATTTTATTGTAATTTACTCATAAATCATAATACATTAAAAATTTTGTATACACGCTTATATGTAGGTATTGTTGTCATTTTGAAGATATATTGTTTGATTTATTTGTGGGTATAAGTTTCTATAATTTTGTAAGGATTTTAAAATGTTACCGGCACCTGCCATTTGGTACAATAAGATACAGCAATAAATTTTCTGAGGCTACAAGTTATGCAATGTACAAAAGGACAAACTATAAAACCATAACCAATAAAGTGTACATTTCTCGAGATAGCTAACACCTTATTTTTGCTTACTTCATTTAATGAGTTTCATTCTGTGAAATAATAAGATATTGTAGTTTCACTTGGAATGCACTATCGTTAACTTCATTCGTTTGTTCAATTTTGTCTTTTTTTATATAGCAATTTTTCGTTTGTAAATACAGTACTTCACGGTGTAAGTAATATACAGTTAATGGACGAGGTCTGCTATTGATTTTCTTTATAAATGATGTACTATCCTGGTACTTCCTGAAAAATTACTGACATTTGGTATATCCTGATTGTGTATCTTGAATGCTTAATGCAGGTCAAGGTACCCTTCAACCATTCGGAAATCAATTTGCAGTAACCTTTCTTACTTAATAACTTTTTTAGTGACGGTTACAATCAGAAGAAGTAGCTAAGTACCGAATAAGCAAAGTATTTCCATACATTTGAAAAAGTTGTGGTTTACCTATTGCAATTTTCATAGCAATATTGAAATGTTTATTTATTTACTCGGAGTATTAATAAATAATCATAAAGAAAACAGAACAAGCAGCTACTTTGGGACAATTTGAACTGTCTAAAATTCTAACCATTTTTAAGTTATACCAAAGGATTGCCTTCAATTCGCACAACTAAAAATTAGATCATTGACAATTTACCGATTATTTTTATCCAGAATGAACCCGAACCGGAATTTTACGTGCTTTTTATAGTATACGAGGATTTTAAATTTTCTCTTTAGATAACGTCGATAATATAGCAGTAGAAAATAATTAGCATCATTAGTACTAATTTGTCAGATTAGTATAGTAAAAATGGTATACCCACAATTTGTTTGAATAGTGCAATATTATTAAGATTTGTTCTACCTATAAATGAGTTGGAAAGTTTAACGACAAATTATTGAAATAATTATTGCAGATTAATTGCTGTTGATGAAGAGTTACACTCGATATGTAAAAAATATATATAACATNTGTTAAAGAAATACGGATTAATTATTACTAATTATTTAATTGTATTTTCTTTACACATATTATCATTACATATAATACAAAAGTCATATCTAAACGGGAGATACCCTGAAAATTGTGGGACCATATATCTACCCCATACGGCGGGGAAATTTCAAAATTACGGTCAATTGAGTACCAAACATTAAAAAAACAATAACAATTAGGTCGCAGTCATGTTAAACAATAAATTACGAGATAGAGATGATCACTAAACCCGCTAAGCTTCCGCGGGACGCCGTGCGAGATGGCAAGGGCCAAGGGCGACATTGAAATATTAATTTAAAGTTCGGGTGCTGACTTAGAAGAAACCATCCCCAGTGGGGTCGTTAACCCATGGGTAATTGTTTGGACAACGTACGCACGTTTGTAAATTGAGAGTTTCACCAGGAACTTCCTTAGATGTAAGTTTGCAGGAATGTGGTAACCAACAAGCTGGTGGTCCATCGACGACGCACTTTTCCCTCCATGGTTCGAATGTTTTCGATTCTGCTATTGTTCGTGGGTTTTGTATCCATTGAATAACCTGTGTCATGGTAACGAAATAGACGTCGTTGTGATTGGCTAATACTTCGTCAATCCAGTACAAGAAAGCGTCGAGAAATTCGGGATTGTTTCTCAACCAAGCGGCATGGAAATAGAGTCCCAAAGGAGCCCTGTTTTCTTCGTAATGTCTGTCGAAATTGTGGTTCAAGAAGTTGTAGAACTGATCTCCGGTGATAATGTTAGAGCAAGAGTCCACCATGGCACAACCAGGGAGGTATTCGTCGTTGTTGGGATCTTCTCTACGGTCCAGTTCGTTGAGTACCATTTCCCATACGGCATGACTTCTTGTTGGACAACTTTGCAAGTTTCCGTGGCAGCGATGGGGCATGCGGAAGTACATGGTGTAAGGCCATAGAGGTGGGTTGTTCAACGGAGCTGTGATTGTTGAATCGTAAAGGAACGCCTGTTCTTCCATCATGGTGAACTGGTTGTTGCCACCTACTCTCAAATATGGTGCACGGACGCCGACAACACTGTTATCGGTTATGTTGGCGAATTTCTCGATGATAATCCTCATTCCTGCCATTTCTTTGGCCCAGTCGTCCAACGTTGCATTGCTCCAAAAGCGTTCGTCGTCATTATGACTGTAAGAAAAAGAAGAAAATAAGTTATGCATTTCAGAACGACAATTAACAGTAATTAAACAACTTACGTGATGGAATGTACGGCGATTTCGTGGCCTTTCCTGTGCATTTCTTGGACAGCTGAATAGTTGGTATATTTATGGGAAACGAAGAAAGTTGATTTGATATCACACCCATTTGGATTCTTTCTGTTTCCAGTGAATATTTCTTTGTACAATTCGATATTGTTATTATTGATGGCGTCATCGAAAGTAACGGTTATCATTTGGGGTACGTCCTTAGCAGGAAGACTTCCGGGTATTGTGGTTCCGTCTTCCGAACAGAAACAGTCAGGAAGTACACAAACAACCGGATCGCATGGTGGAGCACGATTGGGATCATTGTCAATATCTGAAATTAATTATTAATTGTGCCTTTTATTTTTTAAAGCGAACGAAACGAATGAATACGAAAATGAGAAAACAATATGACATTTGAAAAACTACCATAAAAAGAGTAGTGTATTAGTAAAAGGTCACTTAAGGAGTAAATATTTCACAATAATTGTGATAATACCACCAGTATGTACATTTTGCGGCTAAAAGTGGCACAGAACGAAGAGGTTTTGCTGTAACATTCATCAACTGGTTTTAAACGATTCACGAAGGACATTGAAAGCGACATTCAGTTCGCTTTCATATCTCCTGTAACCTTACAAGGTCTTACCTTTATCAGGATTAAACTCTCTCTGACGTGACAGTAAATTCTTATCTAAATAATAGGCGTGATTGGTATTCTTAATCGTTAAAAGGTCTTTTGATGAATAACAATTTCATATTTTGAAATACTCCTGAATGGAGAAAAAGCGATGATATAATTAACAAAGACATGTTTCGTAAAGTGTTTGACCTTATACAATCCAAATTAATGTTTCATTGCCATATGGTTTAATGATTTGAACTTTTAAATAATAGTTAGGTACATATTTCTTAGTTCGTTTTTCGATAATTCTAATGCATTAAATATTTTATGCCTCTTTATGATTCATTAACAAAAGAACGAAAAAACAATTACGTATTGATTGCAACTGTACAAAACAAAGGAAACAAACTCGGTAGCGGATTTACGCTTTTTGAATATCATTTAGAAATACCATTTATTCAACAGGTAATTATCACTTAAATTCCAGTTTCGAACACGATTTCGAATATTAGAAACAAATTTTGATGACCGTGGCTTAACATTACATAGATAGATTACTTATAAAACATTACTTTCAAAATACCAAAATTTATGGTAATTTATTCATTTCGCCTTTTAATCCTTTTTTAAAATTATTCCAAAAGCCGTTCGCTTGAAGAACTTGTTTTTACTTGAATATTGCGGAATTTGTATTTGTATTTAAGAAATTTCCTTGAAGTAGCCTCTCGTTTGTGTCACTTAAAAGGACAATGCCGTTTATACCGGTACGAATGTTATTTTTGAGGATAACAAGTATTAAACGAGTTTGTGGCGTTAGTTTTCGCGGATGTAATTGAAGCTTGAGAAATATGCAAGGAGTTACGATTCGTACATAAAACAGGGCAGTGTTTGTCGGTGTTTGTTGTATGTGTATTATACACACGACTGTATGTGCATAAGTAATGTAACTGTGACATTATACTACGGATTATATATGTATATTGTTGTACATACCGCAAGTGTTTTCATCAGATCCGTCGGCGCAGTCCTTCTCGCCGTTACAGAAGAGACCTCTCTCTATACAATTCCCGTCACCACAGGCCAAAGAGCCATCTGGACATAGAGGTTCGTCGGTGAAAAGGAGTGGCTTGGCCTTGCGTTCCTTGTTCTTGAGCTTGCAATTTTTCACGGAATCCTTCCAGTCACAAGTCTGCTTTTCAATGTCGAAATACAAACCGGCAGGACAACGGATAGCTTGCAAACCCTGTAGAATAAAAAAATATTATTGAACGCCAAATGTCACGTTTTATGACTCGTTCAGATTTGTTTTTGTTCTTTTTATTTTTTGTAAAACAACTTACCGATGATGTACACTGGATAACGTCACGGCAATTATCACCTTCTCCGGCTACCAGCCTAAACCATTCTCCTGCGTCTTTGTCTTTGCATAATTCTGCTTCAAAGCTCTCTTCCTTCTTCGCCGGCTCTTCGGCTTGTCTTTTGTATCGATTGTGTGCATCGACTGGAATTAATAAAACTCTATATTTTTCGATAACAATCCCTCAACATTAAAATGTTACAATAGTTTGAAAGCTTTCGCGGCGGTATTGATATAGGATTATCGTCCCTTTATATTGAATTAAATAAAGTAGGAATTTTTATAAGTGCCGATGACAAGAAGCGAATAAATCTCTGCAGTTCTATTGCTTCATCCGCCTCATTGGGATATATATATATATACTTTATGCACTTTTCTTTTCCAATATTTACTCCAGAATTTATCATTTCTAAATTGTAATTCTTCGGAGAAGATGTATCACGTTAATTATGTTCAAATTTATATAAAATAGTAACATATGCGTACATACTTTCATAGAAAAGGGGGGGGGGGGGAAAAAGTGATGGTGGTGTCAAGGATTCCATATGAAAAATTTGTATTAAACGTTTATTAAATACAAGCATCTAACTGTTACGTCTTTTCCTTTTATTTTTGGATAGGGCAGTTAGGCTCTGATATGCTGCCTATTTTTGCATACGTAACTTAGTTTAGTGTTATTAATTTCGGACAATTAATTACCCTGTATTTTTGTTTAATAAATATTTAACAGAATGCTTCATCTAATGTGGCTAGTTAGGTTTCATTCCAATATACGTAACGTAAGTACATCTTTACAGCTTTGGTGGGTAATTAACAATAATTAATGTTTTAATATTGGTTGACAAGAAACTAATATGAAAGAAAGCGCCAGTAGGTACATCAAACATTCCAGTCACATCGCTATAAATAACACATTCGGTTAAGGAGAAAGTCGAATTTCGATAATTAACATATTAATGTGAGCGGCGTCATTTCTGAATATCTCCAAGTATAATATAAAGTTTTACCGGTTACTCGCTAGCATTTATGTAATAAGTCATCCACCGTCTAACTTTCTATTTTATTTTAATGCCCGATTATGTTTAAACGTCGATTGTGTTCGGCTAATTTATAACGGGCCATCATAATTCTCAATACAAAGATATATTTTATCTCGTATCGTGACATATGTATGCTCCTAAAGGTCACGCCTGATTCCCCACATAAAAATGCGTGTGTCAGTTTCTACAACCTGTTGTAATAGCAACACTAAATTAGAAAAATTTACGTCGAAAAATAAACGCATCTACCTATTAGTGTTTTCGTAACGAAATAAATTCAATTATCGCACGAGTAATGTGGTCTAACCTAACCTAACTTAACCAAGCAGCCAAATTTTTATAGAAATATCCTTGCACCCTTCAAGTACTACAACGCTTCAGGTTAATTCATTCCTAGAAAAGTTAAATGTGTATCAGGTATTTCATTCGAAAGCAAATTGATTAATTTTCAAAAACATGCAATTTATTATTCATTTACTAGAAATAATGAAAATAGAAATTTGCAAATCTTTGTTTAATCTTTTGATTCAGTTTTCTAACAAAAATGCCCGAAGAGCGTTGGGAGTTTCTGAGCCCCCAAAGGCCTATTTATGAAGTTTAATTTTTATTTTGAATGTATTTAATTAATTTAATTTAAACGCTATTGTGGAAACTAGCTTTGTGTGGAAACACGAAAATGGCTTCGAATTTGCCGGTCTGTAACGATTAAACATAAATCCCGTGTCCTTACATACATGTGTGGGTGCAAATATGCGTTGCGCCGATTAATTTTAATGCAAACATGGACCTACAGTTGAGCAACAAGATTCTTCACATACCATACTGCTTGCATTTCCCACCTTCTTATGTGTACCTACTTTCGTTTAAAATAATGCGTGGGTGCCGAATTGTTTAAATTTAACTTGTTTACTTTCTTCCAGTACCTAACAATTGCATTGCAGAAAATCAGAGCAAATTTTGGCCATCAAGCACAAAAAGAAAAATAAAACTAATAGAAAAATCATCTTTACTTAAGGTACTATTCATTTGAAAACTCATTGTATAACTGTATATTTAATGAGGTTGTTTCTTACTGTATATTTTCATTTCATTGTTCTCCATTAATGAATACAAAAGAGAGATAGAAAATCCAACAGGAACAGGAAATATGAAGCTATTATAATAAGCAGAAATGCAATTATTAATATTAACAATTAGCACAAGTATTGTTATACCTTATGATATCGTTGTTGTTTGCAAGCACCTAAGCATATAGAAATAAAGTAACTGTTCACCTATATGCTTATATAATATATACAATTACACAGGAAATATGAAACCTTTAATTTTATTGTCTTGATGTAAGTTCATAATTGATGAGTAATCTTTTGCATATAGTATTATAATACTTCAATAACGGTCTTCATACAATGACCACACATAAATAAAGCTATCAAACAAGTGCGGAAATATTCTATAGTCTACTACGAAACCACGTACTTATGTATATCTAAACAAAAAAGAAAACAAGTTGCTTTATTCATTATCCAAACCTTAATTTAGTGCAAAATACAATTAAGTTTAAAAGCTTTTAATGTCTATCGATGTAGAAAAGATAAAGGAAATGGAAACGTAGAATGTCATAAAATGTCGATGAAATTAACCAGATTGTTTCGTATGCAAAATTTGTTTTCTGTTGCAGAACTTTACGTAATTTGCAGTTTTCGCATGATTTAAGAAATCTTTAGTAGACCAACTACTATGCGATTTTATAACAGAAGAGTCGTTTTCACTTTGTAGTAACTTTCCAAAATTTTTTTTTTATGTTCCAACATCGAATGTTAATTCCAATTGGACGAATATTTATTTCCGAAAACAATTTAATTTGTCAAAAACAATATTAGATTATCATTCATATATACATTCAGTAAAACTCTAATTGAGTCAACTGCTTCTCAATTAGATGTCGACTAGTTTTGGTTTAAAATTAAGTTAATAGCCTCAAGGCATTTGCCATGAATAATAATGACTAATAAATGGCATTGCCATCTAAAATTTTGCAGAAAAGGTCGCTAATCGGTGACACTTTCTTAAATATGGTTTCCCTATTGTTTCCTAGTGAAAGTCTGCTAAGGACGAAGCTATTATCAATTTTCTTTTGCCTTTAAAAAATATGATATCGTTATTAAAAGGATTTTACCTACCTAGTGACCTAAATTCGTTTTTAAAGTATACAATATCCGAGCTTTTACAAACACTTTAAGTGAACAACTTTTAATGCTATTAAAAGGCAAAACTGATCTAAATAATTAATTTCGGTCACGTTTATAACGCGAAGGCGACTCAAGAGCTAGTCAACTTAACAAATGAAAATAATATGTATGTTTACTTTATGCATAAAGTAAATTTTGAAATTTCACAATAAAAAAATTAAAAGCTTTAAGTCGGAAAGGTTATTACGCTAGTTATCTCAGCTTAGGTATTTGATTAGGGTTAGGCAATTTAATTCACAAAATTGATTGCAATTTCAAATTAGATTTCAAAATGTCAAACACACTGTCAATATCATTTAGATACATACATGAAGCAGGTTTATGAGGATGACTTTGAGAAAATTATTCCCGTCACCACAGNCTGAGGCTACAAGTTATGCAATGTACAAAAGGACAAACTATAAAACCATAACCAATAAAGTGTACATTTCTCGAGATAGCTAACACCTTATTTTTGCTTACTTCATTTAATGAGTTTCATTCTGTGAAATAATAAGATATTGTAGTTTCACTTGGAATGCACTATCGTTAACTTCATTCGTTTGTTCAATTTTGTCTTTTTTTATATAGCAATTTTTCGTTTGTAAATACAGTACTTCACGGTGTAAGTAATATACAGTTAATGGACGAGGTCTGCTATTGATTTTCTTTATAAATGATGTACTATCCTGGTACTTCCTGAAAAATTACTGACATTTGGTATATCCTGATTGTGTATCTTGAATGCTTAATGCAGGTCAAGGTACCCTTCAACCATTCGGAAATCAATTTGCAGTAACCTTTCTTACTTAATAACTTTTTTAGTGACGGTTACAATCAGAAGAAGTAGCTAAGTACCGAATAAGCAAAGTATTTCCATACATTTGAAAAAGTTGTGGTTTACCTATTGCAATTTTCATAGCAATATTGAAATGTTTATTTATTTACTCGGAGTATTAATAAATAATCATAAAGAAAACAGAACAAGCAGCTACTTTGGGACAATTTGAACTGTCTAAAATTCTAACCATTTTTAAGTTATACCAAAGGATTGCCTTCAATTCGCACAACTAAAAATTAGATCATTGACAATTTACCGATTATTTTTATCCAGAATGAACCCGAACCGGAATTTTACGTGCTTTTTATAGTATACGAGGATTTTAAATTTTCTCTTTAGATAACGTCGATAATATAGCAGTAGAAAATAATTAGCATCATTAGTACTAATTTGTCAGATTAGTATAGTAAAAATGGTATACCCACAATTTGTTTGAATAGTGCAATATTATTAAGATTTGTTCTACCTATAAATGAGTTGGAAAGTTTAACGACAAATTATTGAAATAATTATTGCAGATTAATTGCTGTTGATGAAGAGTTACACTCGATATGTAAAAAATATATATAATATATTTCAAACAGGAAAATACTTGTGAAAGTATCTTTTTCTGAAAAAAAAAATGTCATTTGATGGTAAAAGTGAGCATATTGCTTTTCTTTTTTCGCTTTCTCTACAAAATTATAATGTATTTTATAAAATAAAGGAGTGTGTTATGACGTTTATAGTTCGAGAAATATATTTTTCTTCATTATTCTCAGAATTTTTAATGGGTTAGTTGCTTTTAATATAACACCCTACAGTATATTTGAAATACACATAAAATATTTTAGTAATCGATAGTGAAAACTGCGTCTTCTCAGAAAAAGAATAGTGCTCGTAAATATCAACATTTTACGAAGGTGACGAATTAATACTTTAGTAGAAAGCTCTGAAAACGATAGAAAACAAGTTAAAGCACACAGACGATTTACTTTTTTGATTATTTTTCACAAATTATTCATGCAATTTGGGTTTAAAGGCGGAGACTTC